CACAAAATGGAGTTTCTAAAACATTTTTACACAGTTTTCTGGACTAAAGATGTGCACTTATCCAAGCACTCAAAGGGAGCCTGATCTGTCATTCTTTAAGTACTTAAAGCTCTCACTAGATCAGTACAATGAATACAGGATTAGGGCTGCAATTCTGAGGAGGTAAACATGCCACTCTGGAATAGCTGTTTTCTGTGTTACACTCTCTGCAAAGTGACACCCTTGCATTTTGCCTCTCCCCCCCCCCCCCACATACACAACAAATGAAAAGTTGCTTAGATACAAGAAGCTTGCACAGATGGACAGATAGTGGTGCAGTAAGTCCTTGTCTACTGCATTTCAAGAAGAGACATCAAATTCTCAAGTGCGTGAATTGCTGTAAGAGATACATCTTGTTTAACAGGGAAGGGGGGGTATGCATGTAAGAGAGGTAGGGGGGCAGCTCCTTCCCAAAGAACATAAAATTATAAACCAAGCCCCATGCAATTCTCCTATTTGAGAGCCTCATCTCAACCATCAAATAAAAACAAGTTAAAATTATTATGTGAAAACGATTGCATGGGGCGATATTGTGTCACATGGATACTCTCGTATCATGAAGATGCAGTTTGGAAGTGTTGCAGTTCAAAGAGCAAAAAGGGAGGAGAGAGAAACCCAAACAGCAAAAAATAAAAAAGGAACAAAATTAATGTGTGCTTCAACCCATTCTTGAAAACAAGTGTCACCGGATCAAGCTAAGCATGTGTATATATTTATAACATATGTGTATATATTTGTAACTGTAGAGAGATGTTTTAACTAACCAGCAACAAGTTCGGTATTAAGAGAAATGATGTTCAGATGGCAAAATGCAAGTGAGTTTCGCCTCTTATCGCTGTGCTGTCAACATCCAGAGTCCCCTAAGTCCAAGAGAGGCGAGACTGGCAACAGCTAGCTTCCCCCTCAGATTCCAGGTTCAATAAAGATTACATCATGGAAAAACTATGCCATGTAGCCTGAGAATCAAAGCCATCACAATTGGTGGCTGTTTAACTGTAATGTCACTGAAACACATACTTCCCACCCCTCCCCTGTTCTCCCCCCCCCCCTTGCTTCCCTTCTCCTTGCTAGTTCACCACACTCATCCCTTCTACTTTTCGTACCATTAAGGCCAGCTTTATTGGGGAGAAGAAAATCTGATCAAAACTGTCGACCGCCAACTGCCGATTTTCAATGGATTCAATAAAGGCCACCTTAACGATTTCCCTAATTAATGGATGACATCTTTGGCTGGAGGAGAGGCGATGTATTCTACTCTGTCTTAGTCTTTGTTAGCCTTCTAATTAACTTTCGTAGGTCACCCAGGTCTCCCAAACCTAAAAGTGAAGAGGGCCATTGTGCTAGGAGCAGTAAACTTACTTTTTTCTGCCTGGGTACTTAAAAGTGGGGGGGATGATTACAGGCAGGGAAAAATAACTCCATTTAAAGTCTTTGTGAGTACAGAGAATACATAGGTCCCTGCCATAGAAAATAATTGAAACACCTTTTTATACCAATATTTCCATGCATAATAAAACAAATTAGCAAAGTCCATCTAACTCCAGATGCATTTTTCCAATTACTTTGAGGGAATGTGAACTCCAGTTAGTCAATGAAAGGGTTTCAGCTTAGTGAACAAATTGCTACTGCAACAGCTATCAGTTGTATAACAGTTGTGGTGTGGCATGTTAAGCAGAGTCTGAGTTAACAGTGCACACACACACACACACACACACACACACACACACACACAGAGTTACAAATTATGGATATAATTTAATCTTTATGAAAGATCACAGTGGAATTATACCACGAAGTTAAATTTGTTCCACTGTCTTTGATGGAATCTCAACTGATTCTGGTTTTTTGAAGTGAAAGTAGAAAGGGCAAATCTTTTTCCTTCAAAAATTATGATCCAACCAAAATGCAAAAGTATAAAGATATTGACCTACATGACTAATTTCTGTATGTAAAATGTATTAACGGCATCTGCATTTCAGTTGCCCCCCTTGAATCATCCACAATAATATTATAAATCATTAAATAATATAAGGTCCGTCATACCATTACAGGACTTAACGTACTTGAAATGAACCAATTAGGCTGAAATATAGCCCAGGAGCTTGTAGTGTTGCATTTACCTTGTGTCTGGTTGATTAATGGACTAATAGAGCCCATGTGGTATAGGTGATTTGAGCATTGAAATAGAACCAGAGAATTTCAGTCTCAAATCCCTACTCAGCCACTGAGCTTGCTGGATGATCTTGGCTAGTCATTCCCTCTCAGGCTAACCTACATCATAGAACCTTGGGATGAACCTTGTATGCTATCCTACGCTCCTAGGAGGAAGTGTCTAATACAGCCTTGAGTCCCCAGATATTGTTGGACTACAACTCCTATCATCCCAAGCTTGGACCAGTGGTCAGGGATGTTGGAACAGTCCAGCAACTTCTGGGAACCCAAGGTTGAGAAAGGCTGAATTAATAAGTAGAATATGAAGCTTGTAGATGAATTCTGCTCTGTTATATAATAGTCTTTATAGTTAAAAGGTAAAGGACCCCTGAACAGTTAAGTCCAATCAAAGGCGACTATGTGTTTGCTGCGCTCATCTCGCTTTTCAGGCTGAGGGAGCTGGTGTGTGTCTGCAGACAGCTTTCCAGGTCATGTGGCCAGCATGACTAAACCGCTTCGGGCACAACAGAACATGGAAGCCAGAGCACACAGAAACACCCTTTACCTTCCTGCCACAGCGGTACCTATTTATCTACTTGCACTGGTATATTTTCAAACTGCTAGGTTGCCAGAAGCTGGGACAGAGCAATGGGAGCTCACACCGTCGCAGGGATTCAAACTGCCAAACTTCCAATCGGCAAGCCCAAGAGTCTCAGTGGTTTAGACCACAGTGCCACCCTCTCTATAGTTACTCACATCTAACTCCCACTGAAAAGACTATCTTTATAGTATAGAAGGGTTGCATGCTGTATTTTTATTTATCCATCTATTTGTAAGCCCATTTCCAATATGTAAACAATTGAAGGGGGGGGGGACAGCTTCAGCAGGCTGGTGAGTTTCTATCCCAGACAGAGACTTTGGACAAGTTACAATGGCCTCCCTGCTACCACACAACTCTCAGATTGCCTGTGGCCAAAAGATTGTTCATGCACATTATGTTCTGCTGCTTGTGGTCAGCAGGGTTGTGAAATATGGGTTGCTTCAAGGTGCCCAGTAAATTACCCATAATATGCTTGCTCATTCCCACTCCACATAAAGTGCTCACTCATTCAGTCCCAATCCCATAGTGGGACTAGTGCTCTTTGGACCTTGTTTGCTGTTTCAATCACCTGAGCTTGAGATAATTACTCATGATGGCCCTTCAGGATGAGGAAAAGAAGAAGCAAACTCACCCCCAGTCTTCAGTTTACAGGGGCGAGTTGAAGAAACTTTGAAGAGGTCCAGCACTGTGTCTCTGTCAGGAACTGCAATGCTTAGCATTACCCCATCTGACAATCCATGTTGCTATAGCTTCTCAGTGGAGAGCAATCCATGGCTCAGCCTTGAAAGTCCCAGGGAACATCTCTACCTCCACTGGATCCCCTTTCCCACAAAGGTTCATAGAGTAACCAGGTGAGGAAACTCTGAGGAAGCCCAGTGCCACATCCCAAGAGCATTTTGGTAGTAGGTGTCTCCATTATCTAGTGGGTGAAGAAGTCAGCAGGAAAGCAGAGCAGACAAAACCTCTCATCTCTGTCTTCTCCAGACCTCTGAATTCCTCATCTGTTACCGCATTATATCTCATGGATATAGCTGCTGCTTTCAGCTAAATGTTTTTCAAAAAAATCTGTTATCTAGATAATCGCCTCAAACATGTATCCTGACAACAGGATATGCCTTATTCACTCTATACATTGTTTCACGGAAGCCATTTTGTTTTGTTTTGTTTTCAAAAAGACTTTTTAATGGCAGTTAATGAACCAATTGGTCACACAAATTAACCTTTCACAGTCATCGCTGTGCTTAAACGTATACAGAAGCAAAGCAATACCAACATGATCTTATGAACCTTGAAATCAACAGTGCCTTGTACGTGATATTATATCCCACCACCAGCACTGTTAAGCAACACATAGACCCAGTATTCTGCATTTGGTAGTTAAGGAGAAAATTATTCTATTAGAGCACTACTCTGAACTTTAAAAGCAGTTTATTTTTATTTAGAACTCTTGGCCTCAAGGGTCCTCTTTTATTATCTTACCGTAGTCAGTGGTTTCATACTCTAAACAATCATTCTGTTAACTAACCAAATTCATACTTGGTAAAGGACATTTTAGAAAGTAGGAGGAATTCAGCACATGTAGCCCTCAGATTGTGGCTTCTTTGTTTATGCTAGCTTCTTTGGATCCCCTAAAAGGTAATGTGGGAGTCTCTGAATAATGGTGCTTTCTGACATGCTCATGAGGAGCCGACATAAATATGATATTGGCACTTAAGCATTTCAAGCATTTCACAGTGTCTGTCACTTTTCTGTAAATATCCCACCCTCCACAACATTATACATCTTCTGCCACTGCTGTTGTGTTTTACCCTCTCAACCTTTCCTATCTCTCCCAATGCCATTGCATTCATCTCCTCATCCTATTTGCCATTCTTGTCTTTCCATGATGAATTTCCTCCCAGTCTCTTGAACTCATTTCTATTCCTCTCTGATGCTCTCCAGTTTGGTTTCAGACACTTCACTCCAGTGGAGCTGCTCTCACAGAAATCATTAATGACCTTCTTTCAGGGAGGTCAAACAGCTCCTTCTCCATCCTCTTTCTCCTTGATCTTTCCTCCACCTTTGATACAAATGATAAGGCCTGTTCTCAGAGCTATCATGCCCTTCTTCAGCCATAGATTATGCTAGTTGAAGAATGATAATGGTAATCGTATTAATGTTGGGACAGAGTCAATGGTGTTAATCATTGTACTGTCATCTGTCCTCTAAGGGCCCAATCATGGAGACAAGTGAAAGAGAGCTGCTGAAATCCACAGCCCAAGAAGGAAGGTGGTGTCTGTCACATCCCTTTGTTGCAGGTATTTCTGCCTTACACTCTTTCTCAACACTGTCTTAATTCTTTGGGCTGGCACAGCCTTCCCAGATATGGTGAACTACAATTCCCAGTGTTCCTGCCTATCAGCCATGCTGCCCAGGGCTGATGGGAGTTGTGGTCCAAAATGTATGGAGAACAACAGCTTGGGGAAGGCTAGTGTACAAAGAAGAATGGAATCCCAACCAGGAGTTGAGTCTTGATTGCTTTGGAAGGTGGGGAAGGAGTGAGAGCTAAGAAACCAATGGGTGGACAGGATATCTAGACTTGAGCACACAGTGAGTGTTAAGAGACCAGAAGCATGTCAGGCAAGGATTCTATTTGAATGCCACCACCCAGCTCCAGCAAATATCCTTCCTTCAATACCTAAAGATCCTCATGCTGAAGTTTAGGGAAGCTGAAAATATATTTAGGCTGCAATCCTATATTTACTTACCTGGGAGTAAATTCCATTAAATTCAGTGGGGTCTGCCTTTGCATAGACTTGTATAGGATTACACTGTTACAGGATTAGTTAAAAGGCAACTAAGGTTATTTAATTAGTTAACAGCTTAGACTACACCGATGAAAAACATCTCTGAAGTTATACCATGAGTCCAGAATATGACAACGTAACTAGCCAATTGTTTACAGCATATGGTGTGCAGGTATGAATAAGGTACCCACACACAGAAAACCAGCATAGCAGGAAGGCTACAACCCTCCTTCCTGACATTTAATATTCTATAAACAGAGAGAGTTTTTAAATTAAAAAATAGGTAGAGTATTCAAACAGCTTAGGACTGGAAAGTGTCCATTGTCAATTGTAGGTTGGTTAACTTAATTTCTGTCCTGGGAAAACTGGAGGAAAGAATCATTAAATATAAAATAACCAACCATATAGAAGAACAAGTTATGCTGAAGCTGAACAAGCATGGCTGCTGCAAGGATAAGTCCTGTCTCAGTAACCTACTAAAGCGTTGGTTCCCAGTTAGGGGTCCAGGATCCCTGGGAGTCCACACAATGCACCCAGGGGGCCCACGACCCCATCCCTTGCCTCCCCCCAACTAAATTTTTGTCATTTTTGCATGGTAATATCACAAATTTTATTGTCTGTTTTAGCGCTGTGTGGCTCTTCAATATATTGGTCAAAATCACACCGCAATAACGATTTTGACCTGGCAATGCGCAGCAGCATATCACTCCTCATGCAAGGGAGAGCAGGGCAACGGATTTCAAGGATCCTCCGATATTGCATGATGCATATTGCATGGCTGTCTCTCCCCCTATCCCCATCTCCTCCCACTCAAACCATGCAGTGGAGGTGACTTCACTTTGTATCCTTCCCCCACCCATCCGATCTCCACGGCTGCTCCTTCCTTCATCCCCACACCTGGTCTCCAATTTCAGACATCAGGATATATCGGAATATCATGATGTTTAACTGCTGATATATCATGATGTTGAAAACCAGATATCACTCAGCCCTAGTCTGTTTTTTAGTACAGTGGCACCTTGGTTCTCGAACGTAATGTTAGCAGTCATAAGAGGAAAGGTCCTCTTGTGGATCAGGAACTGGTTATATAACAAGATGCAGAGAGTAGGAATAAATGAGGCAGTTCTCCCAGTGGAAGGATGTAGAAAGTGGAGGTCCCTCAAGGGTCAGTAATGAGATTATTTAATGTTCATAAATAATCTATAGTGAGGAGTGAGGTGAACAAGTTTTTTATGATACTGAATTGCTCAGGGTGGTTAAGAAGTGATTGTGAAGAACTCCAAAAGGTTATCTATAATATGTTGATGCCAGCTTCTTGTTTCTCAGTGGACATGTTTGGGCTGCAAAGTTATTGGCTCAGTACTCATCACCTGAGATCACTGGTAGAGGGAGTCCTCTAGCTTAATCGGTTTGAGTTTCCAGCTGTTTTTCTTTCTTTCTTTTAAATAACAATATAGTTCAGATCCAAAATAATTGCAACTAAAGCAATATTTTAAGGACTTTTAGCATAAGTGAAGAAGAACTAAATTAATGCTTCCCCCCAACCCTTGATACCACACAAATTCAGCCAAAACAGATGAAAAAACATGAAAATTCCTGTAAGGATGATGGAAAAATCGTATTTCCCCTTTTTAAAATACCACCAAGAGAGTGCATCCCAGGTAACTCCTGCAATGTTTGATACTGTCATATGCTAAGGAGGTTGACCACAGCTATTATTATACTACACTAATGAAACGAGAAATCCTGCTGGCATGGGCTGTGTTTTTGTCCTTTCCTCTTGTGTGGTGTTATGCAGGGAATCACAGGGTGTTTTTTTAAAAGAAAAGAAAAGAAAAGATCTGAATATGATGATGACATGAGGAATCAACTATTATGCAATCATCATAATGACTGAGGTAATTAAGTAGTACACAAAAAAATCTATTCTAAACTCTGCCTCTTGAAAAACTGCAGGAAACCAAAATCTGCAGGGAGCTGGGCACATTTGATTTCTTCTTTCTTCCCATTTGACTCCTGTTTAAGTCATAAATTTCTCCTTTGCATATGAAATGTGCCAGTTATGAAATTTCATCTCCAACAGTCTTCCCTGTGCCTGATGTTACACTGATGTGCCAAGACAAAGGGGTGTTTGTGTAAAACTTGCATCCATGCTGGCTGACTTCTGCTTCCCAGTTTACCTCGCAAAATAAAAAATATACAAGATCCAAATTTTCAAAGTACAGGGCATTGTAAGCAGGATGGTGGTACCTGTATCATTGAGTTATGTAGAGTTACTACATTCTGAGAAAAACACTTCTATTCTGTTTTATGCACCATAGAAATAAAGAGCTAATATAAGTTTTGCTCTGCAGTCCTATGACACTTACTTGGGAGCAACCCACCAACCTCAATAGGACTTACTTCTGAGTATACATGTATAGGATTGCACACTGTTAATGCACACACACACACTACCAGCTTCATGCTGTTGTTTTCACTTTAGTAGTCTTCAGATGGGATGCCAGGTTTAACTTGCACAACAGAGAGAAAGTCACATATTCATAGAAATAGATGAGTTGCTTTTGCTCTCTCTCTCTCACTCTTTTAACTTTTGTGTTCTTGGAGACATAACATTAAAGCATGAGAGAGACAGCCAGGGAGAGCATGACGTCCTCTAATCCAACAAGTCACCTTCCCCAGCTCAAACACCAAGTGATTTTCTCTCTCTCTCCCTCTCCCTCTCTCTCTTTCTCCCCTGCCTTATAAGAAAGAAATTGACTTTTGTTTGGAGTTTGTGAAAAGTGGGACTCGGGGCCCAGTCAATGGGGCTCCCCGCAGCGCACTCTGAGTGGAGCCATCTCGAACCAGTCAGCCACGGCACCAATTAATCCGCCCTTTGTCAGAGGCCCAGCCCCAGCAGTAGCAGTGGCAGCAAAGGCAACAGCAACACATTTGGCCATTGTTCGGGCCTTCATGCAATGGGATTTATCCTTTCAAAGAGCGAGTTTTGTCCCAAAGAGTTCGAGCGGAAGTTTCTCACTGACAATTTGCCCCAAATAGATAGATTTGTCAGAAGCAACCTTTAAAAGGAAAAAAAAGGGAAAGAAATGCCACATAATTATTATTTTTATAAGATGCATCTCTCTCTCTATCTCTTTGTAGGCCTAGTCTGGGCAGGTGCAGTAGGCTAAGAAGAGCCCATGGTCTGAGGTAGTGTTAAAAATAGGATTGGTGGGATAGATGAGGCGGCTCTGTTCATCTCAAGACAGATGTAGCAAGCAAGCTTCTTTGTACAGCTGCTTTGACTTCTTAAAGCCGGGAGGGGGGAGGTTTAGAGTCTTTTACATGTCATTGTCATGATTACTACATAGCATTGCATTAGGCCAGGCAGATTTGGCAGCCTCCAAATGCTTCCCTAAGAGGTCAATAAGAATGATCCAAACAGGTTCCTCCAAGACTGTACACCAGACATGGTGGTGGCATTTTTGCATAACTTGATGCAGCTAAGGAGAGTCTGCCCAGCACAAGAAAAACTGAAAATAGACCTTTGCTATGTTTTTGAGACTTTTTGTTTTACTATTGCCATTGAATACAGCAACTTGTTTGTTCCCAGCAGGAATTACGGAGCAAAACTTGCAAAATCTATAACTCACTACAGTGGAGAAGGGGAAGCTACTAACATGAGTTTAACCAAATTGCGGGAGGCAATGGAAGACAGGAGTGCCTGGTGTGCTCTGGTCCATGGGGTCACGAAGAGTCAGACACGACTAAACAACAACAACAACAGTGGAGTGAAAGTGGGAGCATCCATTTGGTAAGCTTTGTAGCTCATACAGAACAGCACGTACCTGAACACATGCACATAGGCTAGCAGAAAGATATTGAGATCTGTGAGCTATAAGTCACTTCAAGTAAGATGCAACAGAAGGGCATGGTAGAGACCTAGTACTTGAAATGGCAAGTAGGGACTCAGGTGCTTAAATGCTCTTCAACACAAAAACAAACAAACAAATCATTTTCATACAGAAAAGCTAAATTTCAGAGAGAAGGTGCTTCTCCCAACCTTCTCCCTGACCTAGTTGCTCTCTATGTGCAAGAATGTTTTTATAATCATACAGAGGAACATTCAGTTTGGTGAAATTCCAACTGCAATATGAAATTATACACAGGTTTATCATTGTGAGAGAGATCAATTGTTTTAGGGTGACTTCTGGTTCTTTTCTTTCAGAACTAAAAGTTATTTTACAAATCTCTTCCCCCACCCACAAAGGAGGAACTGGGAGCCATTGTACTTTGTGCCTCAAAGACTTCTACATGAAAAGTCTGGTAGAAAATATACTTAACATTCATATATTTTAAAGCGAGTCTCTGAGATCTCACATTTGAAGGGAAGAGATTAAGACAGTCTCCAAAACCAGATAAAGGCGTGAAAGGTTTCAAATGATCAGTGGAGAAGTGGCATTGGTTGAATGGCTTCCTGGTGCTCTCTGAAGGTTGTTTGGTTGGTCCTAATAAAAATATTTCCCAACTGCAAAGAGTGCTGTACTGCCTGATACTTCCTGCCTTAAGGATACATGTGATTCTTTCTCAGGTGTATCTGTGGTTATTGTGAAGTATAAGTAGTGACTACAACAAATGTTCTTAAAATTTATTATGATTGATTGACTGCAATTTAGTCTAGCAATGCTTTTGGGCATTACAGTGAATCGTGCCCCGCTACAAAAATTGCTTCTCACCACCCACCTCAAATATAAATTATGCCTTTGCATGAGTCCTCACCACCACTGCCCAAGAGAAAGACTTGTTCCAAGACCCCAGTGCACAGATTTCCCCTCTAAATGAAGCAGATGTTTTACTGGTTGGTCCCGTTTGTACGTTGAACATTTCCTGACTCTTAGCGTTCATATAATGCACCGGTCTATGTCATCTTTATGAGAAGCAAACTTGTAAGACCACAAAATATGGTCAAGGCATAAAGAAATAACTTACATAGCAAGTATCACAACCTTTCACAAACTTGTAGCTACTGGAATTTAATGGAAAGCTTTTGATCTGTCATATAAAAAATTCAAAGATGTCAAGCTTCAAAATTCTGATGCCTCCTATAACCTGGTTTCAGAGAGTCAGGCTGTCAGAATAGTTGAGTGTGCAGGAAAGGTGGGCTGTGAATAAGTTAGGGGTTACTCAGTTTCAACATGTGCACACTGTGTACGATGTGTGAATAGCAAGTGGGGGTAAATTTGTGTTTGCAAACTCTCTCCTGAGAGATATCCATCTGTCTCCTCCTATACTAGTTTTTAAATTGGACTTAGAGATCTTTTAATTTTGATCTGCTTTTAGTTATGATGCTGGGCTTTGTGGCTTTAATTGTTTAAGATCTCACTTTATCTGTCTTAAGTTGTTTTACCTTGTTTGTTACGCTAGCCAAAAGAGTGTTTTAGATGGTGGTTTTCATTTTGGATTTTTTTATTCCTAAATGAAATCCACTGTGGTGCTTGAGCTCATGGTGCCTTTTCTGATGAGGTCCTTGCTGCTGACTGTGTTGACTCAGCTCATTTCCTCCCTCTAGTGAAGAAGTAGGCACCTTGGTTACATATTGATGAGCATATTTCTTGCACGTATGCAGAAAAGACAAAACAGAAAGGCAAGGACCTGTTGTTTATCCATGAGGTGATTTGTTCCTTTAGTCTCATACAGAGCAAAACCCCAGGTGGCCTTTAACAAGTATTCACTAGTTCAAACCACTTGCTGTTAACAGCCTTAAATGCAACAATACTGTATTTAAACAAACAGGGGGAAATGGTTAAGTACTAGTGGGATTCCACACTAATCTTCTTGGTGCATTTGCAATCATATTTTGCTTTCAAAATCTTGTTTCACTGCATGATGATAATCTTTCACAAATGAACCATTATACAGTGGTACCTCGGGTTAAGTACTTAATTCGTTCCGGAGGTCTGTTCTTAACCTGAAACTGTTCTTAACCTGAAGCACCACTTTAGCTAATGGGGCCTCCTGCTGCCATCGCGCCACCAGAGCACGATTTCTGTTCTTATCCTGAAGCAAAGTTCTTAACCTGAAGCACTATTTCTGGGTTAGCAGAGTCTGTAACCTGAAGCTTATGTAACCTGAAGCATATGTAACCCGAGGTACCACTGTACCTAGAACGAAAAGTGCTTATGACAACACATACCTCTTTGCTGTGACGCCTTGCAGTTGCTTGATAGATATTATGACTTCACACCATGCACCTCCCGTAACTCTGGTTCATTGGCATTCTTGTTAAAGCAAATAAATTACGGTAGAATCTCATGTGTGCTTTACCCATGTGTTTACCATGTCAAATTGTGCTATGATTTGTTATAATACCAGTACAACCTCTGCTCATATACCCTGTGCTGCGATGAATCAGTGCCTCTGGCCGTTAACCAGAAGGTTGGTGGTTCAAGCCCACCCAGGGAAGGCTGTGGGCAGGATTCCTGCATTGCAAGGGGTTGGACTAGATGCCTCTTGGGGTTCCTTCCAACTCTACAATTCTGTGGTTCTTTGAATGAGTATGCTAAACATACAATGTAGAATTATACATGCCGCCATAGACCATGGTCAAAACTCTTGTGGTCTCCCTCCGTCATTCTCTCTCACATACGTACACCAGTTTTTTAAGTAGTGAGAAATATTCATTCCTCATCCTGAATATGGATTTAAATGAAACTTCTACATAATTTCAGACATTGATGAATATATGAGGGCTTCAACAAATAAATTGTACTTTTTATATGCAACAAGGACTTATTTTCCCTGGAAAGATGCTGTGCAGCAGATAGGATGTAGAATCTTCCATCTTCCACAGAGTGTATTCTCCATTTCTGAGAGCTGAGCAGGTGTGCATGCAGAGTTCTGTCACATCACAAATACAGAGCACTCTATAAGCACATCACTGCCTTATAGAATTTTGGGTCATGCATGCCTAGTATGCTTAGAGTGTTTTCACATCATGCATCATCTTCTGGAACTTGATACATATGGATCTTCTCTGTGATCACAAACATACTGAAGCTGTTGTTTATGTAACAGTCTTCCTGGAGGGAGTTAATAAGAATTCAGGTGATAACAATCACAGACAAATATTTGTTAGTGGACCTCGTTCCCTTCTAGTAGATCCCATAATGTCAGCATATAACATGACTTTTTGGAATTAGAAAATGTTTAAAATATTATTGGTCATGAATTTCAACACCACAGTAAAAGAACAGTGCCATGAAGATGGAACATTGATCTAACAGTAGTTGTGATATCATGAGGACTAAAGCCTGCTGATTCATTGGCTCTTTGGTATATGACCATACATACAAGCTGTGGGTGTTTTTCTGATTTGATTGTTGTAGGTCTATTAGCTAAGTTTTAATTGATTATTGACTGCTGTTTCAGATGGCAATTGTAAGTATTGTGAGCATTATTGACCACCAATAATGGAAAGAACAGAGGAGAATATTTTAAATAAAGTTGCACGAACCTGATAAGTGAGTATTAGCCATGTGGGTTATTGCGCCAAACAGAAGCAACTTAAAATTGCATTTATTAAATAACTTTGAAACCTGATGCGTAGGGAGATGCTGTAATATTGCAACCAATTAATTGGCTGAAAGCTGTGTTGCTGGAGGATGCTCCCAAATGTTAATTTGCCCAAATTTTAAACATTTAAGAAATATTGCTTAGCCTGCAGGTGCCACTGAGTGAAGCTAAAATTACGCTCAGTCTTTTGCCATGCCTTTACCAGCCTGACATGCAGGATTTTAGTTCTCCCCCCCCCCCCAGCCCTTGTCCCTGTGCCAGTGCAGGGAGCAGGGAGCTTCACCTGCATAATATATGTGTGTCAGGCTGTTGTGCTGTCAAAGGCAGAGAGCCAGGGCCAGGACAAAGAAGAAATAAAAGGTGATAGCAGCCTAAGTGAAGCCTGGCTTCCCCCTCTTTTAGCAAACACTGTGAGGCTGTTACCCACACTAGGTCCATTTTCTCTGGAAGTAACCTTGGCTGAAGTCACCCATTGAATCAATAAATATACTCTTCGAAGAAGTGAATTAACCAGTCAATGCAGACCCCTGTTAGAAGGGAAATTGTCTCCCGATGTACTGGCAGGTCAGATACCAATGGAGGCAGACAAGCCAGTCCAGGGCTGGCATTTCCTTTTCTGAAGGCATATATGTGATTAATGGGGCGTTTCATTGCTGCAAGTGAACTGTGGCTGAATTGCCTGCACTGCTTCATCTCTGAATGGAGGGAGCAGGAGAATGCTTGGTGACTGATAGCTTTTGTTAGCGCAGGCAGCCTGGACTCTGGTATTACTCCTCTCCTTGCCTCTCCTTGAAGATGCATTCACAGAGAGCAAGTGCTTTGCAACCGGTCCTCATGCTTGCCCTGCTGTCAGGCAGCTGAGCTCACCTGGGACTCACTTTCTGCACACTTTGGATTCTTTGGACTCAACTTCCCAAGAAGCGTCTGTCTGGTCTGACAGAATGAATGAATGAATGAATGGGTGTAGGGTTCATTTCCAAAAGCATTCTGTACTTACAATGGAAATTTGAGGCCAAAGTAGAAGTTATCCTGCTGCAAAAATGGCCCGTCCTTTCTCCTCCATAATATCTCACAGAACTTACCCTGTCTCTTGACATCAGGACATTTTTCACTTCTCTGTCCTTGTTCTGTATCACTAATGCAGCTGCTGTAGGGATGTGTATA